AACCCCTAGTTGAAGTCACTACCTGATTGCCTAATCCTAACCCCACCCCTAATCCTAACCCCTCCCCCACACCTACTTCTAAACCTACCAATACTAGGGGGTGCATAATCTGGCAGGGTGCAAATTCGGCACTACACCGGTCCACTTGCTGTTTCACAACTTCCACTCCATCGTCAGCATTAGTAAAATAACCTGATAGCTGGGAATTTTACTGACTCTAACTCATGTTTTCCCCTCTCTCCTCATTTTTTTAGAATAGCCCCTCTCTCACTTTCTTTTTAGAATAGTTTACATTTTTACTTATCGAAGATTGTTCTTTGCATGACCATTTCCAGATTATGCCAGAACGAAGTGAAGAGAGGATGCGGACATTGCACCTGATTGATACGTGGTTCACGGGTCGTTCAAAAGTAAAAATATAGAATAAATGCATTTGATTGGTAAACCAAATTCAAACGTTACGTTTTAATCTCTAAAGGTAATGCATGGAATATATGGAAAAGCTCCACTATATAATAGCGCTAATATGTGAGGGGCGGGGCTTTGGCAATCGGCGCTACCATGACCAGTCAAAATACCCCACAGCCAATCACGGGCCCCCTCCTTGTCCGGGCCCCGGGGCTTCAGCCCCGCCTAGCCCAATGGTTAATGCGGCCCTGTTTACGCTACATAAAGTAACAAAATGTATTTTAACGATTCATGTGTGGACTTTTATGTATTGGTGTGAGTTTTGTGTTATCTAGATGGATAAATCATTTATGCGTGTTTGCATGAATAACCGTCCACTGCTCTGTGTGTATCTTGGCAGGGGTTTCTGTTTCTTCAACTCAGTGGCCATCACTGCCAAACTCCTGCAGCAGAAACTCGGGGTGGGCAAGATCCTGATCATAGACTGGGTGAGTTTTTAGGAGCTGCTTGTGATGTTACAGTCCACATGTGACAAGCAATATTATTGTACTCTTTCAGTTAAGCTGATTTTAGAAAAGTAAAATCTTCTCTAAAATGAATTTGATTGTTAATAGAACAGCAAAGAACAAAACCAGACTCGTCTCAGTGTTACAAAACCACCTTCCAATCCTTTTCATAGGATATTCACCATGGAAACGGGACCCAGCAGGCCTTCTATAATGACCCCAATGTGTTGTACATTTCCCTGCACCGTTATGACGATGGCAACTTTTTCCCAGGCAGCGGAGCTCCTGAGGAGGTAACAGCATTTTAGTCACTGTGGGAATAGCTGCTTCCTGTAGTCACATGACCAAAATTGTCTTTTATTTCTAACTGACCGTCTCATGGGCTCCTCTCTAGGTGGGTGTAGGTCCAGGAGAGGGCTTTAATGTCAACATTGCCTGGACAGGTGGAGTGGAGCCACATATGGGCGATGTGGAGTCTCTAACTGCCTTCAGGTGAGATCTGCACTTCCTTTCTGTCGGAGACAAACAGAGAAAATGTAAGAAACCTTATACAAAATATAGCCCCACTTTCAGCATTAAAAATGTTCTTGAGACTCCACTAAATGGTTTTAGCATTTTTTTTTCATGAATTTGTTTTATTATATATCATTTATTTTATTATAATATACTTTTTATAATATTTTTTACATTCATTTGTATTGTGTGTGTGTGTGTGTGTGTGTGTGTGTGTGTACATATATGTATATGAAGAGTTTTGTTCCAAAACGCGATAAATGCCATTTTAAAAAAAATTTGAGTTTCCGCCAAAATCGGTATTGTATCTGGTCGGTATTGAAAAGTCTATTTTTAATTTATGCAAAATGCAATATCCGCCGAGTTATTCTGTCATGTTTTCTCCCTTTTTTTCCAAACCGCGATAAACGCCAGTCTCCCTTTTCTGCAGAATGCGATATATCCGCTCAACCAATCACAGCGCACCATTCCACACACTGTAAACAGTAACAACCAATCACAGCGCACCATTCCACACACTCTAGACAGTAATGGCGGCGCTGTGAATACACCCGGCATCCTAGTTTTCCTCATCTGTTTTGTACTTTGTGATCAACAAACAAACAAAAAAAATTAGGGTTGCACGATAAATCGCATGTGATTGTCATGCGCATCTTGTCAGTAAAGCCGGTTCTGTGAATAGTAAATCTCCATCACTTGCATTCAGATGGAGCGGCATTTAATACACAGAGCCGTAGATCACTGCAATATCGCGTTCATAATCGCAGATGAGTCGCATTCGATTGAATGTAAGGGAAATGTTATTTTGGAATTTCTGTGGTTTAATGTGATATTGTTGTTCATGTATGTTCATGATGAAATTTTCTTTTATTGTTGTAATTAATTTATAGCATTAACAAGATGACCCGTTTAATTCATTTTGGGAGCGATGACTGATTGAATGTAGTTTTAGTCCAGTATATATATATATATGAAGAGTTTATATATATATATATATATATATATATATATTATTATTCATTGTAAATATATATATTTTTTAATTTAGCTTGTTTTTAGAGGCAGTACATCAAAGCGATTGCTCTTTAAAAATGTATTAAGTTAGTTTCTGGATTACACTTGTATAAAGATGTTGTCTCATGGGAGTCTGTGCAGATCGTTTGTAAATCAGAGTCTTGCTGTCTGTGTGCTTGCAGAACGGTGGTGATGCCCATAGCCAATGAGTTCTCCCCGGATGTAGTGCTAGTGTCAGCTGGCTTTGACGCTGTGGAGGGCCATCAGTCCCCCCTGGGTGGATATAATGTCACCGCCAAATGTGAGTTTGCTGTTTTTCTGTTTCCAGTACCAAAGGTCAGATGGCACAAATGCTGTTTGTGCCCCTTGATTGCATAGATGGGATTGCATTATACACAAAAAATCCATTTATTTATTTGAGGTTGGACTACCTCAGTTGTTCTGGGTCATTGCTTTGGGGAGCAGTAAAGATTGGTGTCACACTGGTAGTACAACTAGACCAATAGAATGATAGTCTTTTTCACGGTTAACCTACATTTCTGTTAAAATTGGGGGCGTTAAGGTTTGCTGAAGGCTTTTGAGTTTATTTATAGATCATGAATTACCCAGCATGCTCCTGGCTCTGTGCGTAGGTTTCGGCCATCTCACTAAGCAGTTGATAAAGTTGGCTGGTGGCCGTGTGGTTTTGGCGCTGGAAGGAGGGCACGACCTCACTGCCATCTGTGATGCATCTGAGTCTTGCGTGGCTGCATTGCTTGGAGACGAGGTGCCTGTCATTCATTCACACACATCTGAACAGTACATGATATTATTATATTTGAGCTGCATAACTCAAGTGTTTCTGTTTTAACTCCTCAAGTTCTGTTTTGGGGTCTCCGTGATAAAACAAAAGGTTAAAGCTTAAATAATATGTGCCTAATTGGTTTTAATTAGGTCAGAGGATCATATTTGAAAAATTTGAAGGGTAAATAATAAGTTATTTTCAAAACACATACACATTTACACATACATTATTAAGGTCTCTGGAACCCTCAACATAAAAACAGCAAGGTCAATATTAGCAGAGCATGAGTTTTTAATAGTGTTCCTATTTATGAAATAAACATGAATTAGTTTATTTATTTTATTTTTCATGTTTTTTTGTGTGTTGCAGTTGGATCCTCTACCACTGGCAGTGCTTCAACAGAAACCATGTCCAAAAGCCACAGCCTCTTTAGAGAGGGTCATTGAGATTCAGAGTAAGTGAAACTGAAGAAACCTTGGCTAAGATTGTATTGTTTACATTTACATTTAGTGCAGACGCTTTTATCCAACGCGACTTACAAATGAGGACAATAGAAGCAATCAAACCAACAAAAGAGCAATAGGTCACACTTTATTTTAAGGTCCAATTCTCGCTATTAACAAACCATTGACTATGACTTTTGTCTCAATAAACTCCTAATTTGCTGCTTATTAATAGTTAATAAGGTAGTTGTTAAGTTTAGGCATTGGGTAGGATTAGGGATGTAGAATATGGTCATGCAGAAAATGTGCTTTATAAGTACTAATGAACAGCCAATATGTTAATAATAGGCATGCTAATAAGCAACTACTTAATAGCAACAATTGGTCCCTAAACTAAAGTGTTACCGAACAATAATATGTAAATGGTGTGACAAGTCTTGATTAGTCTAACGCAGTACACGTAGCAAGGTGTTTTTTAAATAATAAAAAGAAAACAAGTAGATAGAATAGAAAAATAATAGAGAGCACTAGTGTTAGAGGGTCAATTATTTTAAATAAATAAAACAAGTCGAAAGAATAGAAAACGAATAGAGAATGCTAGTGTTAGAGGGTCATTTTTTTTAAATAAAAAAGAAAACAAGTAGGTAGAGTAGAAATAGAGTGCAAGTGTTAGAGGGTCATGTTGTTATTTTTAATAACTAAAAAGAAAACAAGTAGATAAAATAGAAATAGAATAGAAAGTGCTAGTGTTAGAGTGCAAGTGTTGATTGAAGAGATGTGTTTTTTTTTCTTTACATATTGTATTAATTTCTATATTCATTCATTCATTCATTCATTTATTCACTATTTTTTACTTAATATGAAAGTGTATTAAATATCAGTATTGTGGTAATGGATTTATTCAGAAATGTCTTTAATGGACATTTTTAAAAAACATTTTTTCCAGGAAAAACTGTAGAATTTCTATTATATATTATTTTTAAAGATCTTATATAATATATATATATTTTTTTTTTTTTATATTTATTTTTGGCGTTTTATGCCTTTTTTATTTAGATAGGACAGTAGGTCGACAGGAAGTGAAGTGGGTGAGAGAGAGGGGGGTGGGATCGGGAAAGGTCCGCGAGCCGGGACTCGAGGCCATCGATGCTGACATCTTATATAATAATTTGACATTTTCTATAAAGCTTATTCGTTTATTGTGCTGCCATGGCATGGTATTTATATTTTCATTTTAAATGTAATGTTTTAGTAATTTTGTTGTGTGTTCTTGTCATTTTTAGAATTTCATATTTTTGAATTTTCAAACTAAAATTTGAAATGGTGCCTTGGCAACTAGCTGAAATAAAGTTTAATATTTTATTTCAGTTATGTTTTTTTTTTTCAAATAACAAAAATGTTTTTTTAATGGTTTTGATTTCAGTTTTAGTTAACTGTAATAACTCTGGCATTGAGGTCTTGATGACATAACGATCTTTATCATTGTTTCTCTTCTCATGATCTGTAGGTAAACACTGGATGTCTCTGCAGAGGTTGGCTACTACAGTGGGTCAGTCTCTACTGGACGCTCAGAGACGGGAGAAGGACGAGGCAGACACTTTGACCGCCATGGCCTCTCTCACTGTGGACAACGATCAGCAAAAGACCTCCACAGAAACCAGCAGGTACTGCAACTCCACAACCTGTTGTCCGCTGTTATGTAGACTGTTTAATACATCATTTAGCCCTTCATTAACCGTTAACCAATCACTCCTTCCTCAGATCAGCAGAGGAGCCGATGGAGGAGGAGCCCGTGTTGTAGAAGAGCGAGTACAGTGCATCACTGCTCCAACCTTCTTGTCCACGTGTGCTTGGCACTGGTCACGCCTCATGTTCCTCCTCCCAGCTCTTTGATTGGTTCCCTCGGTCCTTCACTCATTTCCAGGTGCTTAACTGACACATTCACAGCCCACCCACTTTCGCTTTTCTGAGGTTAAAGCATAGCAAACTGTTGCCGAAAGGGGACGACAAGGCATGATGAGTAATTACAGGACCACTCCAGTGAGGGTTGCGCAGCTGGACCGGCCGAACAATGGAGTGCTCTTCAGAGAGAGGCCTTTGATTTCATTTTCTCATTGTATTGGACTGAGGACGTAAAGAAGAAAATGCAAAAAAAAAATCAAAAGAAGAGGAGGAAGGGTAAAACAACACGACAGCACAGGGATGTTGTTGCTCAGAGGGCCGCGAAAAGCTTTGTTTTCTGTACAAAGTATAATGTACAAAGTTCCAAAAAAAGCCAACAAGCAGCAAAAATACTTCAGCACAAAACACACATATACACTCATTCACAAGCAACACGGTTCCCAAAAGAGGAACCTGCTGTGTCGAAACACCTTTTGCAGACAAGTATACTCGTTTACACTGTACCGTGTCGATTTTTTGGTATACTTGTTCATCTGTATAATAGCCTGTTATGAAAAGCACACAAACATACGAGAACTATAAGTATATAATATATATGAATATACATATATATATATATATATATATATATATATATATATATAAGCATATATATGTAGGTTTGTGTGTACCGTATACACATTTGAATATACAAAAAATATATAAGTACTTTATATCCCCTATGGAACATTTTCTTATCAGCTGTGGTTGTACATACAGTAAAACAGCCTGCAGACTTTTATCCAGAAGTGGAAGAACGGTGGTTAGCCTTTTTCCCAGAAGCATTTATTTTCTCTCAGAGAAAACAGTACTTTTTTGGTGTATACGGCTTTGCTATTACATACTCGCACATAAACGTAAATAATGGCAACCCATCCGTTTTACGACAAAGGTGTAAAATATGAAGAGAGGATTTTCAAAGCGTCCATCTCGACCTTCGGTGGAGAACAAGGATTGGCGCATTGTGGTAATGTCTCAAGAACTTTTTTCCAAGAACTTGGTGCCTTTTATACTAAGGAAAACATTTGACAACACCAATACTTAACGAATCAAGAATCCTCAAGACTTAAGTTTCATTGATTTGTTTGTTTTTCAAATTGCCTTAATTTTTTCAAAGAAAACGAATTTTAGCCATGAACGACGGAGAGCACAAAATGATTATCATCCTCCTCCTGCCCCACTTTCTTTCTTTTGTTTTCGTTTCTTGGGGGATGTAAATGTTGTGTTCTTGGTAAAAGGTTTTGATACTTTTTTATTTTATTTTACTGTTAACAAAAGAACGAAAGAAATTCAGCGATTGTTTTATTTATCAGTCCTGTGCCCTAGACGAGCACATGACATGATTGTTTGGAAACACTGACGATGTTGTGACCAACTTGTTTAGCCTCACCTTCCTTTGTACAATTATTTGTTTGGCTCCCTTACGCTCTTTTATTTGAAACTTGTTTTATTTGACTTTATTTCCGTTGGCGAGAGAGTGTTGTCGGTGAGGTTTTTTTTAATTACGACATTTCCTTTTTTTGTACAAAAATGTAAAAGAAAACAAAAAAGTCTGTATCAGTGTTAATTTCGTCATTTGATTTGAAGTATTCTCTGATAAGGATTGTACAGCGTGGTACAGATATTATCAATGATTTTGATTTATGTCACTGTGCAGTGCATTTGGCATTGTCCTTTTTCAGGATTTAACAATATTTTTTCCGGCAATAAGAGTGACTACCACTTTTTTTTGTTTAACACTAAAATACTCTGCAAACTTTTGGTTACATTTTCGTCATCTTTTGATATAGCTTTTATGCTATGGCTACGGTTATTTTTCACCAGACTAATTAGTATTGTTCATAACCGTTGACAGTCGTCTAATAGCTGTATGCTGGTTAATCACTTGTGCACTTGTGGATGAAATGCAATGGCTTGTTTATGACCCTGAAATAACGATCCTTCATTACATTTTCACTGTGTGACAACAGCTTTTTGGGGGCCAAATTCGATTTAATCCGCTGCGTCTTTATTTAAGGTCACCCTCTTCCTTTAGCAGTGTCACAGAAGCAGCATTACTCGGTCTGAGAAGTGACGACGTGTCTAATGGATAGTACTTTTTTAACGAGACTGAACCGGGCCTCGAGCATCTTGCACTAATAATTACACTGTAGGTCCGAACCTAATCACGTTTTTTTTTTCTTACTTTCGGGTTCTCATACACTAATTAAGAGGCATTAAAAGCAGAGTGAATTATCTCGGCAAGCGACGTGTGAACTTCCGTCAGCGTTTTTCGTTTTGTACGTTCATTGATTCGCCAACGTTGATGTTGAAACGTCAGAAATTTCGCTGCGCATTTCTTGACTCTGCTCACTTTTGATTTATTTATTTGGAGTCAGAAATGACTGCTGAAAGTTGCGTTGCTTATGGATCGATGTTTGTCTCATTGTAAATCGATGAAAAATTACATCGTATCTCTTCGACGGCCTCATAGCCTTTGGGCAATAACTAACTTTTTTAAAAGATATATTACAATAGCTAAAAGTGAATGGCCAGTTTTTTTCACAACAACAACAACAGTCGTCCATTTGTTACGTCACCATCTGATAAAGTATTTATAGATGCTGTTTTTTCAACACTAACATCACCTTCAGCTGTTCATTCAGTCTCTAACCGTCTGTTGTCAGTCGTTATTATCATCAAGCGCATTGACTTGCTTTTCACGCAAACTGCGGTTAAAGAGAAACAGGAAACACTTTGTGAAAAATCAGGCTGACATTTAGGCCTCTGTATTTAGATACTGTAATATACACTAAGAGAATTTCCCTCTTCGATGTGGCTATGGGATGTGCTGTCTGAATCAGGAACTACTGTGATCAGGTTTCGTAACGTTTGGATGTAGATCACCAACCATTTGTGCAGAGTTTTGTATTTTCACCTTATATGGCGTCAAACAGTTTATTGACCGTGCAGTTGGTGGTGAACGCTTTTACTCCTTTTCTTTTCCGTTCCTTTTATACTTTTCTGGATGAATTGGCTGACCCTGAGAAGTCCCTTTTTGAGACCTAAACCGTCTCTTTGGTTGCGATGGGTTGAGCAATGCATAGAGAGGGGAAATGATCGCTCAGATGTAATACAGTACGACGCTTGGCTTTCTTAAATGAAGCGCTGAGGGAGACGGTTCATTTTCAGTGGACGTTTTCCAAAGCGTCCTCTTTCGCTACGACAAAGAAAACAATGTCAGCGGCGTGAACAGGGCCTTATGATGACACCGGGAAACCTCTGTATGTGTAAAAGACATCGACATTCGCCGTGGAAGATAGCTTTACTGTCTCTGCCACATATTTTGCTATTGGGTAAATATGTATATTTATTGATAATTCATATGTTGTGTATATGTAGTGACCTATGATCGTCGAGGTTCAAAGAGTGCTTGTATATTTTTTGACTTTTTTTGAAAGAGAGGTTGTGTCTCCTTCACTGTCTCTTCGTTTCTTTGCTGTTCTACATCACTTGTTGTGATTGGGTTTCAATTTGTGAGATCTTTTAACCTTGGATTTTTAAGATCTTTTTTTCTCTCTCGCTCTCGACTCTCTCCTCTCTTTCTTGTCTGTCTTCTGGTCATATTGATATGCAGAAGTTATCTGAAATGATCAAAGCACATTCCCTGATTTATTGTGTTCTTTCAGTGCTTTCATGTTGCGACAATACAAAGGTGTGTATACTAACTGCTACACACGTGTATATAGGGTGCATATATGTGTACACATGTGCAATACACGCTATTTGAGCAATCTATTACTGTGACTATTAATCATTAAAAATTGCTGTCCCTTTGAATCCTGCTGTTTGTTTGTTTGTGTGTTTTTCCCAATTTGTTAAAATACAGCTCACCATATACAGGGAAACATTGGAGCCAGTGGCGATACAGATACAAGACATTTTCTTTTCGTTTTATCTTCCTGCAATATTGTCTGTGTATGCTCTGCATAACATCTTAAATTGGTTAAAAAAAATCAATGCACGGATTTTTTTTTTTAAAGCAAAAATCCTGATGTAATTAGGTTAATTGTTTCATTCAGCTTCATTTATGTATTTAATGTAATATTTTAGTGATTCTTTAAAATAATTAAATCACTGTTCATTTTAATAAAATATTACTATTTTATGTATAATTTATATAAAATGTAAAATTATTTTAATTACTATTTACATTTTAATAAATTAAAATATAATCTTTGTTCGTTACAACCATGGTATGCAGAATACCATCTCTGAACGCACAACACGTCGAACCCTGAAGCAGATGGGCTACAGCAGCAGAAGACCACACCAGGTGCCGCTTCTGTCAGCTAAGAACAGGAAACGGAGGCTACAATTGGCACAGGCTCACCAAAATTGGACAATAGAAGATTGGGAAAATGTTGCCTGGTCTGATGAGTCTCGATTTCTGCTGCGACATTCAGATGGTAGGGTCAGAATTTGGCATAAAGAACATGAAAGCATGGATCCATCCTGCCTTGTCTCAACGGTTCAGGCTGGTGGTGGTGGTGTAATGGTGTGGGGGATATTTTCTTGGCACACTTTGGGCCCCTAATCCAATAGAGCACCTTTGGGATGTGGTGGAACGGGAGATTCGCATCATGGATGTGCAGCCGACAAATCTGCAGCAACCGCGTGATGCTGTCATGTCAATATGGACCAAAATCTCTGAGGAATGTGTCCAACACCTTGTTGAATCTATGCCACGAAGAATTAAGGCAGTTCTGAAGGCAAAAGGGGGTCCAACCCGGTACTAGCAAGGTGTACTTAATAAAGTGGTCTGTGTGTATGTATATATATAATTTTTTTATTTTATATATTTATTATTTTTTTGTGCAATAGACATCAAAAATGTACATATTGAGTGTGAGGGGCATGTTTAGCCCATAAATTATGTGATGATTTATTTATTTTATTGTATTTGTTATTTATTCTTCTAATTATTTTTTTCTTTCATCATTTAGGTCAGGGGGGTTTTAAATTGTCCGTATGAAATCACAATGAAAAAATTATGTAAAAAAAATACGATTTTTATTATAAAAAATTTAAAAAACAAAAAAACATTTTACTGACAAAGTACAGTATTTGACATTATTACGGGTTCTTCGTTCAGAAGGAATGAGAGCCATGCTACTCTACAGTCAACATTTTATGTTTCTACCTATACAGGTGCATCTCAATAAATTAGAATGTCGT